GGGAAGTAGAATAGGCAGATCGACGAAGTACACTGTTGAGGGGAGCAGCGGGCAGGTCAGGAGAGGTCTGCCGCGCCATGTGGATCTCCCCCCGGGCAGGCGGGGATCGAACTCATGAGGAAGTGGCTTAAGCTTCTTTGTGCTGTGCTTTAACCCGCTGAGCCATCAGGGAGGGCCCTGGGGTTTTACTTTTATCTGGAGAGAACCTGGCATACTGGAGGGTGGAAGCTGAAAGGTGGTCAGAGAAACATGTGAAGGTCCTTGATACTGGGAGAGGAGTGGGGGTCACCACAGCAGAAACAGGGTGTTTTAGCCTGGGGCACCTCAAAAGCAGAGCTGAGTCAAGGACTTGGGGGCAGGGAGTTTGTGAGGGAGGACTGGTTGGCCACAGAGTGACCAACTGGGGAGAGAGCAGTAGGGATTGTTGGGGTGTTGCTCCCGGAATGGGAGTCCCCTTCTGCTGGGGCCTCTTGAGAAGCAAACACAAACCTCCAGAATTGCTGATGTACCCCACATGGGCGACTGGGACATCCTCCATCAGGGGTGCTCACGTTCTCCCCACTTCTACATTGAGCTGAATGCAGGCCCCCAAGATCAGAGGAACTCAGGGGACTAAAGGGCAGACACCCCATCCTTGAGGCACACCATGCCAGTGCAATGAAACAAACCCTCCGGAACTGTCCATGCCAATGACAGGTAAAATCAGAGGCCAAAATTATCTAATACCTGTGAGGAGCCTACTGACGTCATCCAGGTGACAGACGAGGTGGCAAGGGAGAAGGTGGTGGCCTGTGGAGATGGAGAAAAGGGGGCTGATTCCCAAAATGTTCAGGACTTACGTCACCGGCTCTTGGCGGTGGATTTGGCTGAGGGTGGTTTTCTTGCCAAGAAGGAGAATCCTGGGCGTGGCAGGTGGGGGCGCAGGAGGGTGGGGCATGGCTGGGAGCTCACGTGGAGACGGAGGTGCCTTTCAACTAGTCCACAGAAGCTGATGACTGTGACGCTCAGGCGGGCCGGAGCTGTAAGTGTGAGTCATCGTCATCTTGGTGGTAATTGAAGCCATAGGTGAGCATGAGATCATCTGTGGAGAGAACACGCAGAAGGGCCTTGCAGGGGGAGAAGAGGTGGTGTCCACCTGCAGCTCCTCCCTTGGGGATCCCCCAACCGCCCCACCCCAGCAGCAGAGTGACATTTCAGCACTTGTGACTCTAATTGAATTTAATTGTCTCCTCCAAGTTGCACTAAAGCCTTTTCAAAGTCCCCTGAAATTACGGAACATCGATAACACCGCTCCTCGGGGTTTTAATCTGTGTCCTCCCTGAGAATGGTGATTAATTTTTTACAAGCTAATCATATCTCTTAGGCAGGCTGTCAGCAGAGGGCCGTCATCTCTCATCAATAATGAAGAGATCGCCCTGCCTCTCCCTGCTGCCTTCTGCATAATTCACCAGGAGGGCTTCAAACACAGAAGCCAGGGGGCGAGGGGCCGTACTCTTAATCGGTGTCCTTCCTAATTATCCTAGGGTGGGCAGGGGCAGGGAGGGGTGTCCAGAAAGGCAGGGGGGGGAGGGGCCCCCGGAAGGGCAGGGATAGAAAGCCTGGTTAATGGGGGCACATATGACCCCCCCATGTCACACATCCACAGTCATCTTCCCCGCCAGCCTGCCCCACCACTTCATCTGTACCCCTGTGACCCCATCCCATCCCCTCACCTCTTTCTGCCTGTGACAGAACTATCCAGGCCCTTTGGGTCAGGCTCTGCCTTGGGCCCTGAAGCCCAAGTCCCAGTTGAGGCTGTGGGCCCATTTGACAGATGAGCAAACTGAGGCCTCAAAAGCAGAAGCAACTTGCTCAAGAAAACAGCCTGGCAAGGGTGGTTGAGTTAGATCTGCCGGCGGGTGTCCCCCAGACCTGTGCTCTTTCCCCCCAAAGCTCAGGCCACGTGCTCCCTGGCCCTCAGCCTCTGTATTTTGATACTGAAGAAGAGTCTGTCCTTTTCTTCCCCCTCGACACCAGGGGGGTCTCCCCCAGGGGACCCGCTGCCCTGTCTTCTGTTACCCCTGGCTGTCTGTCTCCGAGGCCAAAGGACAGAAACAAGAGTCTGGAGAGGAAGTGAGCAGGGAGGGCATGCGGAGAAGACAGGGACAGAAACAGAAACTGAGACTGGGCTTGCTCCTCCTCCTGGGCATGCAGGACTTCGCTCCCTGACCAGCTGGTAGATTCCAGAAAGCAAGGGGAGGCTGGACGCCTGAAAATCCCTTACATGAACATGATTTCTTGCATCTAAGCCTTGAGCAAGTGCCCGTGGGGGCCAGGAGGTGAGATGGTCCCCTGAGAAGACAAGGGTCTCTCAAACACCTCCATGCCCACTTAGCAGGTGGTCCAGAGGGTGCGAGCCCAGCGTGCTCCCTGCCCCCCTAACCTGGGGAAGGAGACCCCTTCCTCAGAATGGCAATCTCTCTCTGAGCCTGGCTCTGGTGATGGGGCAGAGCCCAAGGGCTCCCCAGTTGTCTATGGGTGAGCCCCTAACCTGGGTCTCTGGCCTGACCTTGTCAAGCAGTGGCCAGACCGGCCCCCTGGGCTCCAGCTCAACAAGTCTGAAGGCTTCATCCTCATCTGCTGTCCCTTAGTCCTACATCTGGGTCATCGATCGTCCTGGTTTGCCTAAGACAAGAGTTTCCAGGGAAACGGGACTCTTGTTTTCAAAGCTGGGAAGTCCCAAGCCAAGCGGGGGTGGGCCCCCTGAGTGAGTGTCCTTTTCTTCCAACCTCCTGGGGTTGGGGTACAGCCAGCTCATCCTTCCCTTCCTACTGACTCTGGCTGTAGCCCTGGCCCCTGTGCCTCTGAGTTGGGGTGTTGACTCATCTGAAACTTGAGGAAAAGTCAAAACCACCAACTTTGCTTTGGGAGGGAGCAAATGTGTTTGAAGCTGACTCATTGTAGTGTTATGGCACCCCAGTGTGAACTGGGCCGCCTGTCTGTGGGCCTCACCTTCATGCTTAAAATTCAGTTGTACTGCAGACACACACAAAAGAGTCAATAACGGGTTTACTTACAAAAGGGGAAAGGAAAAGGAAACAAGTAACTGGGATCTTTTACCAGCTTGCTGACGTGGAGATCTGGTAACAAACTAACTGAAAGCCCAGAATCACTGGAAGCCCTGAGTCACTGCAAGCCCCAGTCATGCGCCCCGAGAGCCATTTCCCGAGCCAGGGAGAGCCCGTTGGACAAAATAGCACCCTATTTATTCCCCAAAGTCCCAGAATGCCTGCTTAGCTCCACCCTTGGGTCCTTGCAGTTCTCTCCCTGGTACTGCTGGGAGTTGTAGTTTCCAGTCATGGAGTAGGGGGTGGAGTCCACAAGACTCTGCAGAGTTCCTTTAGGACATCCTTCCCCTTAACAGTAGCACCGGGCAAGTGGCAAGTGTTCATGTCACTCACGGGCTCACCCCAACCCTCCCACCCTCCCACCTCATGGCCTGTGGCCATGTCCTGCAGACCTAGCAGGACTCCCACCAAGTTCACAGGAGAGGCCCTGCTCTCAGCTTGGCAGTCCAGGCCTGCACAGCCTGGACTCAGCTGACCTCTGTCCCTTCACCGGGAGGTGCCGCCCACCCCAGACTCTGTCGCACCCACTCCCACTGACTCCACTCGCGACTCTGTCCCTGCACCCCCATGAAACCCTGGAGTCCCCACCCCCTGCAGTGTTAGTTGGTACTCTCTCAGCACCCTGACCTCCCTGAGCAGAGTAATTTACCATCGCTTGCTAGTAATTGTTCTTTCCAGGCATCAGTTCTTTGACTTGTGTGACCTCTGTTATCCCCAGACCCCAGGCCCTGTTGTAGGAGGCCGGTCCTCCATCCCTGGGTGGGGCAGGAGACCTGGAACCTCCCCTTTCCCTGGGGATTACCCTGTTATAGGATGAGATGGATTTTATACCCATTTTAAAGATTTCATTTTACTTACCTACACAAGAAATGGGGTGAAGCCAGTGGTGTTGCGGGGTGAAAGGATTCCCCAGAGACAGAGTGGGGAGCAGAACAGGAAGGTCAACAAAGTACACTGCTGAGGGGAGCAGCGGGCGGGTCAGGAGAGGTCTGCTGAGCTCTGTGTCACCTCCTGGCTGGATCCGATAGCTAGTGCTGAGACTTTAACCCCTGCACCACCAAGGTGGCTCCTGTTATACCCATTTTCATTTCAAAAGCAAAAGTCACTGGCCAGATGTCACACGGAGTTGGCCCACTGGAGCAGTGCTTAGGTGAGACCCACTTCCACGGCCGACTCTGGTCCCTTCTCTGAGAGTGACTGCAGGCGTCACAGCCCCTGGTCCCCTCCAAGGGCTCTGGGAGGGTGAAGTGGCACGGTCCCTACATAGCAGGCACTTGCTATAGCTTAGCTTGAGCGAGCCTCACTTTCAACTCAAAGGCCATGTCCTGCCCTGACACAGTGCAACTCAATGCCTACCCCAGGCCTCCGGGAGGACCAGCTGGTGCCATTTGGCATGGGGTGGGGTGTGCCTAAGGCTCCAGAGTCAGCAGGCCTGTGTTTGCATCCTGGCTCCAGGATTCTCCAGCTGTGTGTGACCTTGACAAGGTTGTGCTGCCTGGAGCCAGAGGTTAATATCTGCACGCCTACCCGGCCAGGAGGGGTAAGGGGCCAGGCATCAACTGCAGGCCCTGTCCCCTGTTCTTGCTGGCCTGGCTCCAGCAGGTACTGGTAATGGCCATGGATTAAGTGGGGACTCCTGGTAGCCCAGCAGAGCGGGAGCCATAGGACCCCGTAACTTTAATGCTCAGATCTGTGGTTCCGGGCCAGACGCTGCATTTGCATTTAAATGGAGGTTTGGAAGTCTGTAAATCTCCATTTCCCAGCCACGAGGCCTAATGGTTGTTTAATCATGTTTAGATGAACCCTCGAGCACTGGGGGTTGGTGCAGCTTACAGAGACAAAGATCAAATAAGGGGCAGTGGGGGGGTGGGGGTGGGGGTGGGGCTTAAGGGCCAGCACTGCCCGGGTAGGGGTGGGCTTGTGGTGGCCAGGGACCTGCATCTGGCCTGCCCCCACCCCTCCTAGGAATACCTCTGGATTTGCTCAGAAGTAGTTGGACGGAAACTCTGGCAATCTCCCTTCACACAGCTCAGAGAAGCACTGGCTGAGATGTGGCTTCCCAAAATACTCGCCTTGCCCCCGATTAACTGGCCGGGGACAGGTCACTTAACATGGGCATCCCTGTTGGTATCTAGAAACTTCCAAATCATGTCGGTGCAGTACCTGGCTTTTCAAAGGGTGACCTGTGCAATTCCAAGTTGCCTTTAAACTTGAGAAAACTTGGATTTTAGGGGTCTGTTTTATAGTTGTGACTTTAGGGTGAGTCACTTGGGGAGCTTGGCCAAAATGCCACCCCCTCTTCCGAGTCACATCCTACGAGCTTCGGGAAAAGGAGCTCTGTGGCCCACTGAGCGTCAGCAACATGCCAGTGGCCACTCCAAGTACCTGTCTCGCTGCGGACACGCGCTGTGATGACTTGTCCTGTAACAGGGGTGAAGCCAAAGACGGCTGCAGGGAGCGCCCCCTAGAGGGGGCTCTAGTGAGGACGGGGAGCCCCGGGTGCAATATGAACAAAATATCTGTGGGGGTGGAGACTCTAATAAAAAATATAAGGGGCTGCAGAAGTAGCCCCCAGGATTCAGCATTCGGGATTTCAGTACTTTCGGATCTTCTGTGATTCTGGGGTCAGCGATTTCTGCCCCCACCATGTTGATCTTCTTCAAGGCTGGTGCGGGCCTCTGAAGGACATGGAGAGACTTCCAGCAGTCAACTCAGAGGAGAAGAGTTCGGAGTAGCCGAGTGACTGGCGCTGTTCCCAGGTTTGAGCCTCGCTGAGCTGCGTGAATGTGGCCGTGTCGGTTGGTTCTGCTGTTGCAGGTGCTGTTCTGAGGGTCGCCTGTCTGGTGCTGCGCTGGGGTGTCTCAGCAGCTGTGCTGAGCGGCTCCTGGTGCATCTTCTGCTGTCTCGGACGCTGGAGGCCAGCCTGTGT